TTAACATATATATATATATATATATTCGTATGTCACGTATTATATATTTACATTCAATTGTATATCACGTTCGAAGTAATATTTAGTCAAAAAATGACCCACCGAGCAAATCCAAAATGACAATGATTGACAATGAAACTTACGCGATCCAGAAAAACATGAACACGCGAACTAAGTCGAACGCTCTCCACATTCTTAAATAAAAACTTTTCTCTCGACTTCTTCCGGATATTGCGGGAAAAATTTCGTGCGTGTCTATCTCTCTCTCTCTCTCTCTCTCTCTCTCTCTCTCTCTTTCTCTTTCAACGAGATACATTCTCTAAATCCGAAGACATATCGCTTCGTTCGAGTTCTCCACGCAACTGAACGAGCTGAGAGGCTGGGAACATAAGCTACTTGGATTTCAACGAGAAGTGTTGCGTTACTTTCGTGAACAGCGGACGCTTCGCGCGCGACATTCTCCGCGTTCTTCGTCTCGTAATCTCTTCAAACGGGTTGCTTCTAGTAGTTAACAAATACATTTGAGCGAACGTTTGCTTGAAGAACTAAACAAACGGATCTACCCCCCCTCTCTCTCTCTCTCTCTCTCTCTCCCCCTCCTTCTCTCTCTCCCTCTCCCTCTCTCTTGTGTTACTTCCTAACATTTTCTTTATCTATAATTGACATTTCTGTAAATGTAACGATTTGACTTTTAATAGTACTTTATTCTTATTTTTGCGATATCACTATATTTTAAGAGTCTTTGAGAAATGATCGTGAGTCATCGCGGATGGAAGATCAAGAGGCTCGAGAACTCTTTGAACATTGCCTTTGTATGTCTTCATCGTGCTCTGTCATAGGTTTCTCTTCTTCGCTCGCTGCTTTCGTTGGGGACGGCGTAACGAGAAAATAGTTGAGATATGACTTTGGGAGATCCCAAGTTTTTGCAATTCGGTTGCTGTTCGAGACGTGAAGACTACTGCCTTGTCGTAACTCAGCGGGGAGTTTCATCTTAGTGAAAATCAAAGAGAAACCTTGCGAGAAACTTCTTTTCTACGATTTAATTATACTGTTGATGAAGTATATTTCAAAACTAAAGCGAAAATTGTTTATCTAAAGATTTTTAATTTATTTTACAATTACGTACACCTCGAGACATCTCTGTGCTTAAATTTGACAATCACAACTTAATATTTGTTGTCAGTCATTATTTGATCGATAATAAAACACTTTTAGCTTACTCAACGTAAAAGCCATGAGTTTAATTAAACATTCCATGTATATTTTTAAATTGAATTTCTTTATGTCATATGTTTGACCTTTCTTGAAATGTAGGACACGTTAATTGAAGCAGGTCAACGTTTGGCGTGCACGAAAATACTTAGACTTGCAATGTTATCGTCGGATTTCTTTTAAGTTTTGCGTTAATATGGATGGAAATGTAAGCCGAGCGTTCTGACGCGACGGAGAATAAATACATCACGAACAAACGGGGAGTGGAGAAAGGCGGCCATCAACGAATGATTGGTTTCAGTGCCGTGGGCCATTAGCAAACACCTGAAGCTCGCCCCGTTGGAGTTCCTTCGCCACGAACTTTCAATGGAGAAGGAAGAGTACAGTCGGGGTTAACAAACTCATCCCTTCAAAACTCGCTCACCCGTCCTGCAGTTTTAAGCCTTTTTTACCACCCATACTCGTCGTACCAACGGTTGCAACGCGAAAAACCCGATTAACAGTCGGCGATTGGAATCGGCTGCTTTTTGTGCTGTATTGTGGAACTTTGTGCGGTATTTCGAGCGAGCAGAATATCGACGATTCAGCTCTGCGGTTAGGGATTTCCGAACGGATTTCGCTTTGAAGCCGAAGAATTTCACGATTGTTAATTTGAATGATGTATCAACTGATTGTTCGTGCGAAACATACAAACTGATCGTTGCATTAACAAATGAAAGGAAGGAAATTTTCCATAAACTACAAGTGTTGTTACACATTCTATTACTTTACATTCTGATAATTTTTATATATGGACATAGTCCATATATAAAAAAATACTTTGTATTAAAATACACTCACACCATTGTTAAAATTGTGGGTTAAATTTTTAACATATCCGGATGTAAATATGATTATGTTATTTGAGCATTTTGTGTTAAATTGATATTCAAATTTCTTATTGTTAATATCAAAACAATACAATTTATATATTTATAAGTACAAATACTGAGTACTAAAAAAATAATATAAGATAATGTATTTTAAATCATAAATTATAAAACGAATAAACAAAATACGTATTAATTAAATATATATCATAAATATCAATTTTATTTAAAAAAATATGCTTACACAAATTGTGTTAATATTACATTTTTTATGTTAATTTTTTTACATAATATTTGTGTTACTTCCTAACATATTCATTTTGTATTAAATTAAATACAAATTTTCCAATTGTGCTTCAAAATACAGCTTAAGAAATGAGATTTCGAGTTATTACCACGAATGAGTTAAATAAACGTTATCCTATCGATTATCAAAAGTAAACTTATTCTTATAAATAATCATCAAAATTATTACAATTCAAAAAGAATAATTTAAGAAAAATCGTCGAAACTGTCATATCAAAAAAGGTGGTTTTTTTAAAAAGCGAAACGAAAATAGCAAAAATGAATTTTAATCATATTAACAATATATTCTTTTCGCTGATGTTATTTGATTAAATAATTTTTTATCAAGTTAAAAAATAGTTCCATTTTGAAATGAGGGAATAATATATAAAATTGATTTTTTGTTTTATTTATATATATTACGTAGCAATATACTTAAACTTACATAATAATATATTTAAATACAACAAAATTTAATTGTCAATTGAAGCTTTCGTTATTACGCGTTCGCAAGATATTGTTTATGAAGGATCAACATGGGAATAAAGATTCTTTGGCAGTATTCTTCCGTAAATTTTTTCATTCTGCTCTTATAACGCACGTAAAGGCTTTCTCGGAAGGTTTTATGTAACCACCAGAGTATCGTTTTCTTAGAATAAAGTAATCAGTGAAGCGAGCGGTCGGAGAGGGATAAGGACGCGGGCTGAAAAAATTGATGAGGGACTGTTGCATGAATTTTACGCCACAACGGCAAATCGTTACTTTGAAAAACAGCTACACCTAAAAGAAAGCTGAAAAAGTCCTTCTCAACGTCTATTAAGTATCTTTAATGAGACGACGATCTTGGTACCACAATAATAGTTTTATTTTATTATTATCTCTTTCCATTTTTATGTTTTTATTTTTATCATTATCCTTTAACACTATAGTATTTCCATTGCCAATAGTCGTTCTTACCCAGTTTTAAATGTGACTTGTTTAAAAAATTCTTGCAAGAAAGGTAGATGGATGAGATTTCTATGCCACACAGTTGGAAAATTTATGTTAAATTTAATATATTTCCCAAATGACCCATTCAAATTTTTGTATTAATTTAATACAGATAAATATGTTAGAAAGTAACATAAATATTACGTAACAATTAAAACGAAAAATGTAATGATTTGATATTATTTGAAAACAAATTGTGAAAATATTTTTTCAATAAAATTAATATTTATAATAATGTTAAATTAATATTTATTTTTTATTCATTTATTTAATCATTTTAAAGTGTACATTTTTAAAACTATATTATTATTTTTATATTCTTTATTCACACTTAATCATAAATTGTGTTACTCTAATTATAAAAAATGTTAAATACCAATTTAACTTAACGTAATGATATTATATTAAATTAACACTTGGATATATTAAGAATTTAACACAAAAATTTTAATAAGGACTGGTTTTAATAGAAATACAAAATGTTTTTTTTATTATGCATCGAGATCTTTCATGCTCTACGTAAAAAGTAATAAAATTCGTATTAGAAGACATCCGGGCACTAAGTGCTGTTTCATGTATATGTGCGTAACTTTTCTTAATGAATGAATTTCGATCGCTCTGCCTGTAAATCACGCAATTTCTAGGCATAGATCAGATTTTCGTTCCATTTGAGACCTCGAAGGGAATGCTTTTGCGTAATATGCTAGGAATTTTCAAGATAGGACTTCCGAAGGGAGCTCTACCAGAGTTCATTCGTCCACAGCGAACGACGTCTCGAACGGTTTCAGATTTGAATTTCTGTATTCGTCACGACGAGTTCAGGTCGCTTCAAACTCAACCGGATAAGCTCGGCAGAAGCTGTCTCGGTAATGGGATCATTGAGCGGAAAGAATCGATTTCCTTATGAAAGAGCACGACGTGACCGAGATTTTATACGTAGAGTTAATCACGTTACGTGTTTCGATCAGCTTGAAATCCCGTTTTGTACATTCTGTCTCGCCAGTTAACGCATAATTTATCGCATTGTCGCGCCGCAATCCGATTTGCGTGAGTTCCCAGCAATTATCGATATGTCATTAAGCCATCCGTTTCCAATTACGCATTTTGATGATTTCTAATTTGCGCTGACCGAACGCTTGGGTATAATATGAATTTCCTTTTTACTTATAGCGAATTCAGTTGGACGCACTATTGCGCACTAGTGTATATTGAAACTGTTGTACAGTATTTAATCTATGTAAAAGTAAAATACAAATAGTTCAAATTATAAAATGTAGATTTTATTTAACAGCACAATAAAATATAGATATAGAAGATTTCAAAATTCAATCTGTTTTTATATTTATATTAAATACATGTTTTTGTGTCAATTTGAGTATGATACTTTAATGCGCACTAGTGCGCACTGCAGAGTGCATCCAACTGAATTCACTATTAATTCGATGTTATTGCGAGTACCGATTAGTTTAATTAAAATTTTGCTATTATTGGAGAATTCCGCTATTCTCGGGCTTCAAGAAATTTAATTATGCAGAGCTTTTAAAGTTCTAAAGATTTATTTAAATTCCAATATATTTCGCGTCAAAATTTTTATTAGAATGTGTCAATAAATAAATCTCATTAACGTCTTATTGTTTTTGACAGAATGCGCAGCCAAGAACGGAAGATCTGTAGTAGAGCACCATCCGTCCTCTTACTGGGAACAACCCTTTAGTCAGCCTTACTTCGACAACACGACAAAGAGGGAGACCACAACCACTGTCGGGCAATCCGCTTACCTGCACTGCAGGGTGCGCAATCTTGGCGATCGTGCGGTAAGTCCCAAGTTTCCTTATCAAGAGCCCGGTCGTTGTAATAACACTGCTCGTGCTTGAGAATGTTGTATTTCGCGAGTAGATTAAGATCGCGCGCGAGTCCGTTAAATATCGCGATATGATTCTGATTTCGAAGATAATTCTCATTTTATACATAGAAAAAATAATTTTGCGCTAAAACATCTAAAAATTTTTTTAGAGCTAAATGCAGATCTTAAAATAATTTTGTTGGACCATTATAACTATTATGTAGGATTATATTCTCAACTATTATGTATAGGGTTATATTCTAAAACATGATGAGCTGTAAAAGCTTTCGACACTATAGCAACCAGCCTTCTACACAATTATTTTGATGGTTCAAAATTTATTTTTAGATCGGTACCTATCTACAATTTTTAGATACTTCAGGGATACGTCCGAGAATTCAGGACATATCATTTTATTCTTATCGTTCACCAATATTGAACATAGATAAAATGATACCTGGGTGCACCGGAATGACGTTCCTGAACGCAGCAAAACCATTCTTTCATATAGAGACATTTATATTCGTATCGTTTCGCATTTATCAATACCGCATTTATCAATTACGAACGAGTCTCTCCGAAATATTTTTATATCGCACATTTTAAATCTTTCCTCAAGTTTGTCAATTCTTGTTTTTGTTTTTTGTTTTTTTATATTTGTAGCGAAAGCAAAGATTGCTACTTTTTTGATTTTCTGAAAATTATTTTAGGATTCGCTTTAGTTAACGTACCGTCGTTACAACGATATTGTATACGTCAATATTATTCGTTCCTTCAGTAATCCAACCAAGCACGGTTTTAACGAACTTACCCATCGGGAAGATTAAAGATAGAACGTACAAGACGAGAATACAGAATGCGAAAAATATTGCGGGATTATTTCGCTGGAATCTGCGATAGTCAATAATCTCGCAGCGCTGTCGATGTCGCTCGTGTTTTTCGAAGAAAAAATCAATTAACCGATTAATCTTCTTATTACGTGAATTATGCAAAGCTCGATGGACGTTTTAACATTCGATCATGCGTCAACAAATTTTCGTGATTAAATTTCGTTATTAGGTAGGGATTCAACAGAGCAAAAACGCAACGAATTTGTCACTGCAAAATTAAGTCGCGCACACTCGTGTTTGATTATCGCAAAATTTTCAATTATGTTATTATTATTTTTTGTGAAGCGTATTTTTCAAATTCTATCCCGCTCTTTCGCACGAACTCTCCGCCTGGCGTTGATAAATTTTGCGTACGTGCGAGCGTGGAAATCCCAACGATCGAAATCACGCAATTCGAAGTCAAATAAATTCGCAGTTACAGTGTCGCGGCGAGGCATTAATCCGTGATCGTTTCCTCGACAAACTTTGCCAGCTCTCTTTGCTAATGCACTTGCGCGACCTGCAATTCGTATACGAGTTCATTCCTCATTTACCCACGCGACATCGCACTTTTATATATACGAGTATATAGAGTAACCTAGTTCACATCTTCGCGCGCCAAGACTTTTGTAACTCTTTTCCACGTTCTTTATTTCTTCTTATTTTCGCCTGCGAACTTGCGGGGCAAGTATACTCTTCACGGTCTAACGTGCATATACTTTTTCTTGCGTAAATTTAGAAAATTACAATGGTATATTAATGATCTCATTAACATCGTAATATTTCCAATTATGATTCACATTGTGAAACGTTATTTTTAGCGTAAAATAATCAGAAAGTTGAATATTTGACTGATATTTGTTAAATAGTTATACAATCTAATTGTGCTGTAGAAAATTAACTCTTTGTGTAGAAATCTCTTTGATGTTATATTATTTGAGAGAACAAAAACATATATATTTTTATGAGAAATATAAATTATATTTCTTTGCAGATATTCTTTTTTACTTTATACTTTCTTTTTTTTTTTTTTAATAAATTACTTTTATATTTCGCTGTCTGTTTAATTCACATTCCGCTATTGTTTGATCATATGAAGTGATTAAAGTGATGTTACATGTTATAAAAGGAGCATTGTGCATACTAAACACATAGCCGCGGCTCAATTTTTCGGGCGGTTTAGTGGATTAACGGGCCGCTCGAGCCGCTGTTTAACCCGGTATTCATCACTCGCGGTCCTAATGCAAAGTAATTTCGCGGGTAGGCGCATAGGTCACCCGGGCGAACGGTGACATTACGCGTTATCGGCCGTTGCTCATGCATCACCGCATGACGCACCAGGAACCCGTCAGAGTCCAATCACCGATCGTAATCGCCGATAAATCAAATTTCTCTCGCACCCTATCCTCTTCCCCCTCTGCGGATCTCCCTTTAGCTCCCTGCTTCCGCCATTCACAGCCACGCTGAGCCACGCCATCGGCCCTCAATAACGCGCGCACGCACATCTGGACGTTTATATTTGCGATCGTAGAATCAGCACGACCGTCGCGATTGCGTTTCGCCTAAGCCTTGATTTTGCACCGGTGACAGATTGTCGTGCGACACTCGGGTGTCAATCAGAGATTTTTCTTTTTTGCGCATACGTAATTTGATCGCATTCGCGTGTACGTAATCCTCGTTTCAAAATTAAACCAAAAAAAATTTCGACGTCAATATTTCAGGCTTTAATCTTTCGAAGCTCAATTACAAATCTTTTTGTTAAAAATATCAAACAATTCAATTTTCTTTATATTACATCATATAGCAAAAGAGGAAGTGAAAAAGGCTATTTTTGTCTATATAGATGCGGAATCTAAATTAATCACTAAATGTTTGTAGGATCTTCTAAAAACAGAAAATATCAATTATTTATTCGTCAGAAATCCTGAGAAAGTTATGAATATTAGGATTTATTATTAATTATTGAAATATATTTTTAAGCTACGTACTCTTTAAAATAAAACCATTTATACATTGATGTGCTGAAAGGTAACAAATATAGAGAATATAAATTTTTAGCAGAACTATTCATTTTTTGATAATTTCGTTTTAATATTTTTATATGCAGAATAATGAGAAGAACATATTATGTTGAAAATCGTATAATTCCATTTTAAAAAATAGCGATAACTTAATATGACTTTTAAAAATTGACTTTTAAAAATCAATTTTTTACAGTCCTATTAAGATCATCGCCATTTTTTTAAATGAAATTATATGATTTTTAATATAATATGTTCTTCTAATTATTTTGCATATAAAAATATTACAGTAAAATTATCAAGAAATGAATAATTATGAGATATTTTACACTTTATTCTGACACATAAAATATTTCATAAACCATTGATTTTGATAATTCTATTTTAATTAGGAATGCACTGGATCCTAAAATTGCCGATCGGCGACCAGATATTTCCCCGGATATCCGGTCAGATATCTGGAGCAAGGCTTCCAAAAACAAAAGGAAAGCAAGGAAAAAATAGTGATAATAATTTTCTTTATCTTCCCAACGTGGAAAGAAAAAGAGGAAAGAGATGAACTATGCTGAAAAGAATAAAATTCTGCATTAATGACAGCAAACTTTCAATATAAAATTTCAGCTGGATTTATTACCGGATACTAATGATATTCGGCTATCTCATCGGATAATAAAAAAAAGTACCAGTTAATACCGAATACCGGATATTTCCCAGATATCCGATGCATCCCTAATTTTAATACTTTTATATAGATACATGTAAAGGAAGCTCGTGGTTACATTTTTAACAGTGTATCCCAAAAATAAACAATAAATCCTGATTTTCATAACTTTCCCCGGATCTGGTGGTCTAATAATTATTTTTTATTTTTAGTTTTAGAGAATCCCACAAACATTTTCTAATTTAAGGCAATAATACATGTGTATACATACCTTCAGTTCTTAATTTTATATTTATGGGCAATAGTGCATCACACTAGCGATTGGAGGTTGCGTTTGCGATCACGTTTGCATCTCATGACCAATTATAAAGAAACTACCGGTCAGTAGTTTCTTTCTAATTGATCAAGAGACATAAACGTAAACGGAGACAAGATCTCTCATTCCGCGTGTCTCTCACCTAGCGCGCTGCACCACGAGAGCTTCGCTGTCATGATGCTGTAGCATCACGTATATAACATTAGATAGACTTATTCTAAATGTAAAAATATATAAAACTAAATTTATGTGTTATATCTCGTCTCAAGACTAGATGTCGATCTTATTTTATTCGGGGCAGCAGAATAAAAATTATTGATTTAATTTTAATAGAGTTATAATTTTATACTGTGGATACGGTTGAGCTAAGATTAAGTACGTCAAGAATATTTTTTTTCTCGATATTAGAAATCCTTTCTAAGAGTGAAGACTTCCCTTTTTTACACATATATCCTCCTTTGGATTATTTTTATTATTAAAATATACTTAGTATTTAGTCTTTTTTACAAGTTATATCTACGAGTTATATCTAGTGTTGTAAGACAAGAAAAAATCTGAGGAAAAATCAGGAAATAATGAAAAAATGTTCTTTTTCACGTTTTGAGGAAACCCTTAATGGACAAGAATGTTTTTCTTTATTCAAAATTATACTTTCAATTATTATACATTGAGTGCTAAGCTAGTTAAAGCCTTTTAGATGTTATAGCATCCCCAATACAAATAATGTGTTATGTACTATATCGTTAAAATTAACATAATCGATTCTGCAGCTGACAATGTATGTCATTGCAGGTAATGTTAACGTAGCTACACTTTTTCCTATATTTATATATAATATTGCTATTTAAAAATATACTCTATTTTACTTTGATAATTATAAATGGAGATTTTTAAAAGGAAGTTAATTAGAGTAAAAAGAAATGAAAAAGCATTGAAAAACCGTTTTTTCCTAATGACAGATTTGTTTCTAGAAAAAAATCTGGAAAAAATTTGGTTTTTTCCCCGGCGATTTAAATTTTCCAGGAAAATAACAACATTAGTTATGTCATTTTGGTTCTTTGAAATTAATTAGTGGTTTAATTAATAGAAATAAAGTAAATGAGTCTTACAGACCTAGTGTCAGTAATTGTATTACACAAATTTTGGCGTCAGCTCCGGAGAATTAAAAATCTTTTCTCACTTTACTTTTTATACTGTGATATTTTCAAAAACGTGCGAAATGCATATTAGAGGTCGTAGCACAGAATTTATGCGACATAACGAGCTGGATTTCTCGGTTGAATATCCAGTTTGGTGTATTTTGCTGCTATAACAGCAGGTGCCTCTTGATTGCGCAGGTCTCGTGGATCAGGCAGCGAGATTTGCATATCCTCACTGTCGGCATCCTAACATACACGAATGACCAACGTTTTCAATCGTTGCACAGCGATGGCAGCGATGAGTGGACCCTGAAAATCAGTTCACCGCAAGTGCGAGACAGCGGAATCTACGAATGCCAGGTCTCGACGGAGCCCAAAATTAGTCAAGCTTTCAACTTGAGTGTAGTAGGTACGTATATGCATACCTCTCTTTCTATTTCTGACAAATAAGATTCAATCGATATACAAACAAATTCTACAGGATTTTGATTAAATAATCTCAAGCATTAGAAGGAAATAAAAAATTATAGAAATAAATTACAATCGAATAATCGGAATTATAATCGAAAGTAAATTATAGTGGAATAATTATTTAAAAACAGTAATAAATTTTATAAGTGTAAAGGTGGTGGATTTATGTTTGCGATTCTCGTTAACTGAAATAAACAAAAATCAGCGTAAGAACGGAGATTTAAGGATTGTGTTTTAAGCGCGCGCGATTACAAATTCCCAGCTGTGTTCAATAACAGTTTCTAAAGCCGTTTATTTCTTAAGTGAATTTTTAAATGGTCAGTTTCGAGTGGTTCGACATGAGTTAATTGCAGCTTTGCGGCGGTTTAAACGAAATTGCGATCATACTTCTTAGTCCGGGCTTTACTCGACGATCCGCGTGCGCTCTATGGCTAAAAACCACTTTAACTTTGTTCTGTCCTCGTGTGCAGTCTCGAAGGCAAAGATCAACGGCAATTCGGAGCTCTACATCAAAAGCGGGAGCGACATCAATCTGACCTGCATCGTACTGCAAACGCCGGAACCACCATCCTTCATCTATTGGTGAGTTTCAGCGTTTTCCCTTGACGATAGCGCGGATTGAATTTGTTCCACATGTATTTCAACACAGCCGAAAGTTTTCGCGAAATCCAAATCTACAGTGACCTCCATTCAGTAGAATCTATTTTATTGAAAAATTTCAACATGAGCACCCGTAAAATGAATCTCCAATGAAGTGAATCTCTGAAATTAATTCCTGGAGGCGATGATCTTTAGAATTTGTAAATTCTAAAGATCATCGCCTTCAAGAATTCTGCGTGATCCTTAGTTGTCTGTAGTCTTGATGGTCTTTAAAATTTATAGATTGTTAATATGCTAATTCGGAAATCCTCTTGTGTTTCTACATTCGCATATAAATACTTATACATTCGCGCATACAATTTATTTGTATATTTCATTTAATAATTTAATAAAGATATTTAGAAGTTTTTTAATGGATTTTATTTTACAATTACTCTGTTTACTAATATTTTTCAGACTATTCTCGATAACACTGATTAAGAGTTAAAAAGCTTTTTTATTAACATAAATCACCTTATCACCTTTTTTGGTAACATGAAATATGTAAAGTGGTTTTTAAGTATAAATGACGTCGTTTTTGTTTACTGGATACGAAAATAAATAAAAACTTTAGCACATATAACTTTTTTCTTACTGAAATTTTTATCATGACGTCATTTTTAACCCTTTGATTAACGTGCAATTTGTCACCCTTTTTATTCATTACCATGCCATGCCATGTTTCAAAAAATGTGAAAATGAAAACAGGATTAAGTCTGTGTAAAACTGTTCTTTATTGTTCAAAGAGTGGATTTTTAAGGTAGCGAAATTCATAAAATATAAAAATTGTTACTATCCAAAATTCGATACAGAATTATGTTAATTACGCAATTATCTGTACATTAACAGAAATATTAAATACAAATATCTGCTGTATTTTCTATATTTGCTTCATTTTTTTACTTTTTATTATATTATTAAAATATTTATTGGAACAGTATTTTTAGAAATATCAGCTTTATTTTCCATACATAACAACATATACAGCACATATAAATTCAATTTTTATCTTGATTTCCAATTTGACAACTGAAATATAAACTACAATAATGTAACGAACAAGGGCAAATATTTAAAACGAACAAAATGATGCTAAAAATATATAATTTATTAACACACACACATGAACGGGTCTGACATCGAAAACCTGATGTTTCGGGCAACGTCTTTCGTGATATAAGAAATGTTTTAAATATCAAAAATAATAATACAATATTATCAATAAGAAGTTAACATAATTGAAATATTAATATAATATTTATGTGTATATGTTATATATATATATATTATATATAAAACTCTCAGCCCTCCCTATGATTAGCCCACAATACGAGTCAAGAGGACACTTGAAGCTTGAAGCTAAACAGACACGTAACTTAAATAGAGGAGAAAGTGGTACTATGATATCCCATTTATATTTTATACAATTAACAAAGTAATAAATATAAATTTACATTTTATATTTATTACTTTGTTAATAATTAATATTTAAATTTAAAATTTAACCCATTATGTTCGTTAACATATTGTTCAATAGGTTCTAGATTCAAAGTTACAAAACATATCTTTATTACTTATAGCCCTATTAAAAAAGTGGTAGGTATAATGGCTTGTGAAGAGAAACCGAGGTGATAATGTGGTCTTCCACAAAAACAAACTTGAAAAATTGATTTTGTTTAAATAACACTATTTTTATTAAATTAATAAAAAGGTAACATATAAAAGTAAAATAATAGAGTAATTTAATAAAAGTAAAATAGCAAATTTGTGCTATTTTAATGCAAAATGTATGCAAATGTACATACGTACACATAACTTCTTCCACATATAGGCTGTTGTATATTAAAAATCTTTAGTACATATAACATAAACTATAGATTAATAATAGAGCTACAATCAATTTGTGGAATAATTGTATTTCAAATTGTACAATCAAAATGTATTTTGATTGTATTTTAAATTATTGTATAAAAATCTCGAAAAAGAGATCGTCAGCAATCAGCTTGCTTAGCGGGTCATTAACTATACATATATGTTCGTGATAATAGTATAATACCTTCAAATTTAAGAAGAATGAGGAAATATGTATAATTAAATGTAAAAGTATAAAAACGTTTTGAAATACTTAAAAGTAAAAATTCGTTATAATAAATGCTGGCTATTATGTATTAACATATTAGCGTCATGGTGTAATGGCGAGCTACTAAATAAATAATTTCATGAGTAAACAATAGGAATTCGTCACTTAATAGCAGGGAACCATTATATCTACACTGGCATAATACTACCTTCTTTTCTAAATAAGAAAATAAAAATCGCAAATCCGTTATCTCGTATAAGTGAGATCGGAACATAAATTAAATGGTCGGTAGATTGATATAATAAAATAACAAAAAATATAAACTTATAAGTTGTAAGCTTTCGTTTTTGCAAACGATCTATTTTGTGATTTCATTATGAAACAGTCATACATAATAAAATTGGTTTGGTGCATTTATATAATAATTTACAGGAAGAGAACTGGCCATATTTAAATTTTCAAAAACAAGTTCTTTTAATTACACAAAAAAAACATGCTACAACGTTTTAAATATCAGACATGAAAATTCGAAGTCAACAGGGAAACACAAAATGTAGATAGATTTTACCAATATTATCGAAATCGTGTTGATCATCGTAATTTTTCAGGTACAAAGGCGATAACGTGATAAACTACAGCCAACGAGGGGGCATTAGTGTCGTGACGGAAAAGCAAACGCGAACGTCACGTCTTCTGATCAGCAGAGCGCTACCAGCCGATTCCGGCAATTACACCTGTGCGCCATCCACAGCCGAGTCAGCCAGCGTTCTTGTCCACGTGCTCAATGGTGGGTGAGTCGCGAGTGAAATCATACATCATCGAAAATCCTCAATATTATCTTCCAAAATGTCGCAATATGTCTCCGTATATCTTTCTCACGATAATATCAACAAAATTATTGGCTTTCCACGTAGTAGTCTTTTTGGATGGTTTCGACACTCTCGACATTTTAAATAAAATTTCAAACGCATGTAAATATGTCAGCGCGGATAAAATGTGCTGTATACGTTAAAATTGCCCGAGAGAGATACATTCAAGTACAAAGCGATATCTACCCTTGTCAACGTGTCGCTACAAAAAGGCTTTATATTGTTCGCTCACCGCGTGGATTTTCGGCAAATTGTATCTTTTCCGGAATCAAATGCTTTGAACATATAAATCTGCAGAAAGATCGTAAATTGTTGCCATCACAATTGCTTTTTTAATCATATGAATACAATTTTATAATTTATAATTTATTTCCGTTGCATATACATTGAGATACGAAAGAGTAGAATATAGTTAAATACGCTATTTACTATTAAATTTTACGAAGCTTCCCGTAAACTTTGCCCGAAATGCGAAAGCATAAAATCAATTAATTAATTTCAACAAGTTTCTATTAGTTTTAATCAAGTTTCCAACGAAATGTTTCATTTCAAGTATTACTATAAAGGAAGTTCGAGTCCGCTTGAGGGATGTTAAAGAGAAACAATTTCAATTCAATTGCGTTTATATAAACAATGTGCGATCGCAGAAAATAGTTTTCCGCATATATATATTTATATGCATACGGCGAAAAAGTTCAAAACGTTTGATCCTGACGTTTGCAGAATTGGCAAAATGAGGTAAATTTTTCAGTTCCAACACAAATAAGAGAAAGCAACAGAATCTCAAGAAGAAAAATTAAATCGCTCGAGTGCGCGTCATTGATTTTCTTTTAACTCGCTCGATTGCAGCATACAGATTTATTTCTGGTTTATATATTTTAAAAGTCTTGAATATTTTTTTAGAGCCATTTTCAAATCGCGCGTATAATACGGATCATATCGAAAATGTAAAGAGAATGAAATTTTTATATTATCTTCAACATGTGTCTTCAATGATATTTGCGTTATATGGGCGTTTAATAACCGTTCGGAGCTGACATCAAAATCTATAACACAGTTATTGACACTGGGCCTGTGAGACTCATTTAATTTATGTTTAAATGACACTAATTAATTTCAAAGTAAACCAAAATAATATAACCTATACAAAAAAAGAATGAATTCTAATGCCCGTTTCCATTGCAGATTATCTTTAATCTCGATTTAACTTCTAAGAATTAGAAAAATCTGAAGAATAAAATTAATCTACATTAGTGGAAACGAACATAAACATTTAACATAAAGAAAATTGAATTGATATTTTTGACAGAAAGACTTATTGAGTGGGTTCAGCAGACTCATCGTTAACTCTGGAGAATTAACAGCTATAATTTTAATGGTTTAAAACAATTCGATGATATTAATTGCATACCTACTTTCTACAGTTGTAAGGACAATTATTACACGTCCTCGTAAGCGAAATTAATCTCGCGTTTGCCGTTATTCGTAAGAGATTTACAAGTAATTACTGCAGGGAAACCCGCGCGAACTTACCGGAATGAAACTCTCGTCAACTGAGTATATATATGTATTCGTATCCAACGACAAACTATGAAGTCTCCAACTAACTTCACCGTTCTCCCTTCTACCATCTAACGTACGTATGCGGAGCCATCGAGATTAGGTCCGTGGCTTTGTTTAAGAACTAATAGAAACGATGTCGGTATCGTGGAAAGACATCGAGGGATAATCGTAACTTTTCGATTAAATCGCGCCCAGTAACTAAATTATTTTACGAGACGTATCACATTTCTGGGCTTTTCTTGTCGGAGCAAGTCAATTAACTCGAGCATCCAACGAGCGATTTATTAATAAGAGACGCTGGCTGAATATTTGGGGAACATTGCGCTTATCAACATCTCTCTACGCTGCTCGTCCCCAAATTGTCAGGATCATCATCATTACTTTCCCTCGGGTCCGAGTGTAATGGAGCATGGACGAAAATTACAGAGTCCTGAAAGCCCGGTCACCCAATTCGGCTATTCCAACCCACTATCACCCACGTCCTGATGATTATCGCGTTGACCTCGGACTCGTTCGCAAAATCGCGCATGTGCGTATATGTACGAGAGTTCAGAAATAGCGGTCAGAAGTCGAACCCGTCTTGACAACATCTTTTGTCGGCAGTTACATTGTCCACTGAATACACAGACCTTTACTAGTAACACAGACAATAATGGTCTTGTTGTATCGCGACGAAATGGCTTTTCAGATAATGTCATTTGAACTCGTGATGAGTAGAGTTACATTTTAGAACCGAACGAATATAAGAGACGATGGGGTCGAGTCCATTTTTACGACAATTCACTGAGATTGCCGCGAAACGAGTACACGTTGACAGCGACATCGCCAACGAGCTGTGGACATGTCGGTAGACGACGCTATCTGCTGACGGACGAAGTCATGACCCTCGATTGCGAAAGCGCGATGTTAAAGTCACGGGGAAAGTAAGTGGAGTCGGACTTTACGGGTCAGGCCGTAAATCCCACGGGAGCTCAAGTAGATGCCGAGAAAAGTGTTCTACCGATAAACTAAACGGTAAAGGCCATAAACGTGAGCGCATTGTCTGACGCGCAATGTCGCGTCGATGTGTTCCGCTCCGCTCTGCTCGGCTTGGTGCGCAGCGCACGGAGCCACGCGTGCTGCACACAAGCGACAATAAACCGAATGTTCTTACAAAGAAAGAAAGAAGGAAGATAGTCGCATCTTTCTTTATTTCTCCTTTATTTCGCGCGTAAAATGCCGAAGAAATAAATCCTTCAAACTCGTCTGCCCTTTTCCACCCTCAGCTTCTGGAGGATAAATCAGACGAGATATTGTCCCATGCAAATCCCTACCAGCTTACTCACCGAAATGCTCTCTCTTCTCTCTCTTTCTCTCGCGTTTCTCTCCTCTATCTTTCTCTTTCTCTCCTTCCTCCACATGCAGGTTCCCCACGTTCGCACGTCGCGTAGTGGCACGCGAGCTCATGAGATATGCATGCCGTTAAGTGGCTGCTCGATGGTAGGGGAGATCACGCGGACTGTTATACACGGATAATATCTTCCTACGTCATTCCCATTCTCTTCACGACTTCGATTCCCGCCAGGATAATGCAAACTTATCGGAAGGTAGCAATGCCATAGCTATCGGAACTACTACCATGGTCATCGGAAGTAAATCGCGGTAGATGTACGCAGTGGATTTGGGACAAACATTTGAGGAAGGAGACGCATTTGGTCCTACGCTCATTGTATATTATTTCTCGAATAAACATCAACGTTAATCGTGAGACATGACAAACACAAAAATCTTTTCAGTTGACAATCTAAATTGGAGTTGAAATTAGTTTTAGACCGAGCCGCAAAGAGAAACGATTTTCCGCATTACGTCCGTTTCTCTTCGCGTGGGCGGGAACTACATGCGATACGAAAGGAATTGCCGAGAACAAACGAGAGATACTCACTGGCCAATACGACGCGGAAACGTAAGTCCCCGTAATCTCCGTGCAACTTATCAAAAGACTTCGTTACTGCGTGATGTACCACAATATCCGCGAGTTAAATTGTGAAGTGAGTGAGTGAGGAAGGAAGTGAATGGGTGTGTGAATGAGAGAGAGAGAGAGAGAGAGAGAGAGAGAGAGAGAGAGAAAGAAAGCATATATATACGAAATATGCATTATTCTCGGCCAAAGTCTGAGGAAGGTAGTACATAATAGGGGCGTACGTGCAAGTGGAGACGGAAATATTATACACACACACATATGTGTGTATCTCTCTTGCTCTTCGCATTTCAACTTCGACTTCCTCTAAGAAGACTTCCCATCGGAACAATACGAGAAGGATAATGTCGACGTGGAGATTAAAGCGTGAGATAGCGCGTATAACGCACGATCATAATAACTCGTGCGCGGAGCTCGTGAAATTTCAGTAACGAGTTTCGCGGTGTGTAACAACAAAGCGGCCGGTGTGGGCGCATTACGCGTAATTAGCCGCGATAGGCAAGCAACTCTGCGCGATACATGTTTTCAAGTTAACTTCCTCCCTTCATCTCTCCCCGAACCACGAACGGAAGTCCGTTTGAATAGCTCGCCAGTCACCGAAATATTTGCCAGCGTAATTCCGCATCGACACATCGCCGCGCTGCGTCACGATCCTGATTAAATTATTTCTGCATTGTTTATCATTACTCGTAATCTATTGCAGGACCAATAATTTTGCAATTGCATCGAACGCTCATCATTGCCGCAAGTTTCAATTTCGTCTCGCGATGCATTGTTGCTTTTTGTTTTGCTTCGATTTTCGAGTAATGAGTGAGACTAGTTGGGCAATTTTTTATTCTATAATGATTATAAATCTTCACACAGTTACGATAGACTAATAATGAGAATAAAATATTGCCTGTTTATCTATCTTAATAATTGAGCATTCACAAATCTTTAAATATATTTCGTAAATATATGTATATTATAAATAAAAAGTTTTTTCATTGAATGGAGAAAGTTAGAGCTCAATGTATTCCATGAAATTTGTTGAGCAATCTCGAGAAGTTCATCTATAAAGATAATCATCTATATTCTATATAATAAGGTTATATATTATTTAAAAAATGAACGAATTAGGTGTACTAATCAAATTTTTATTGAAGTTTCTTATTTATAATAATTTGTAATACTCTCTCTTTCTCTCTAAATGTTTTAATTAACAATAATTAAATAATAGAAATCAATGCCTTAAATCCTTGCGAGCACTGCCTTAAACAGTTTAGCTGGATAACAAATGCTTGTATGATCTGTGTGAATTTATATAGGTACTACGTATGTAGTCCTTTAAAATGCGCCCCCCCCCACCCGAAATGATTTTTCGGTCTTGAAACGCAAACTCTAATGCCCGTATTCATA